AACCCTCAACCCTGAATCCTAAGCCCTAAACCCTAAACCCTGAACCCTAAACCCTGAACCCTAAACCCTAAAACAACCCTAAACCCTAAACCCTGAACCCTAAACCCTGAACCCTGAATCCTAAGCCCTAAACCCTGAACCCTAAACCCTGAACCCTGAACCCTAAACCCTAAACCCTGAACCCTAAACCCTGAACCCTGAACCCTCAGCCCCTAGGAAGGCGATGGGATGGATTCCCAGCTCCACAGCGCCTCGGTGGCACCAGGTGTGTGTTCAGGTTTAGGGCTTTAGGTTTAGGGTTTAGGGTTTAGGGTATAGGGTTTAAGGTTTAGTGTTCAGGGTTTAGGGTTTTAGGTTTAGGGTTTAGGGTTTAGGGTTTAGGGTTAAGGTTTAGGGTTTAGGGTTTGAAAAAACGGCAGCAGAGGCATGTCCTGTTTTTTTCCAGGTTTCCAAGAAGGATCTTATTTCCTGCCCTGGTCGTCAGGGTCATCTTGTTTTCTGAAAGATCCACAGAACCCCGAGCCCTGAATCGAAAGCTGGGTCCAAACAAAGGAAGGGTTTAGGGTTTAGGGTTTAGGGTTTAGGGTTTAGGGTTTAGGGTTTAGGTTACGGGTCTCGTCTAACATCCTTAATTTGGTTCAAAGGGCGTACGGGTTAATATAGAGATTTCAGTTGCAGTTTAGGGTCGAGGGTGTAGGGATCACGGTTTAGGGTTTAGGGTGTGTAGGTTAGTGGTGACGTTTCCGTGGACCATTCAGCCCGCTTGTGTAGGTACGTACTCGGAGTCATGGCGGCCAGCTTGACACTTTACAATGTGAATAGGGCTCCCTCCCGCGGCAAGGATGCTAACCCAGAGAACCCAATACACCCTAAATTTTGGAGTATAGCTTAAATTATGCGGGGCTTCATGTTATGATTCACGCCATATTCCTTTTTTAGGAGGTATGGGGCTCTCTGGGTATCAGGTTCCGAATCTTCAAGCCCCACCTGACTAGTCCGATGCGGGAGTCGTCGTTTGCAGTTCGGAGTTGTTCATTAAGCCGAACTCCGGAAGCTCACTTTTTCCCGAAGTGCCACATAAGTGTGAAAGACAAACGCCAGGACCCTCAACCCTAAACCCTCAACCCTAAACCCTAAGCCCTAAACCCTAAACCCTAAGCCCTAAGCCCTAAAGCCACGGCACCCTGACCTGAACCGGAAACCCAAAGCCCCTAAAGCCTAAAGCCTAAACCCCCAAGCTCCAAACTCCGAACCCCTAAGCCTAAACGGCCTCAAACCTCAATCCCGAAATCCTAAACCCCGAAAGCCTAAACCCCCAAGCTCCAAACCCCAAACTCCGAACCCCCAGCCCGAAACCTCAAATCCGAAACCCAAGAGCTAAGCAGCACAGACCTGGAGCTGACTATAGGGGCCTTAAAGATTACCTATACTATTTTTTGGGCTCCTTATTTGTGAACTTATAGGTTTAGGGTTTAGGGTTACCTATACTATTTTGGGGGTCCTTATTATGAATTTCTAGGTTTAGGGTTTTGGGTTCAGGGTTACCTATACTATTTTGGGGGGTCCTGCTTATAATGGGCCCCCCAAACCCTTTTCTAATTATTAAAGTCCCTAATTTACCAGGAGCTGACTGCCATTGACCCCACCATGCAGAAGTGCCTCTGCCGCACTCACTCTTCCGTTCCGGGGTGTGGGATATGGTTGAAGATGCTTGTGTGGGGGTTAACTATGTTTTGTCTTTTGTTTAGGCGCTTTGGGTGTAAAGTTTAGGGTTTAGGGCTATGTTTCCTCGAAGTAGTGGCCCCACCGACCTAGTACAACATGGCAGTACTTATCGTGAGGTCTCCAAGCAAGACCTTTGAGCAATAGCAGCCCCTCGCATTCAAAGCCCCCAACTTCAAACCCTGAACCCGAATCCGCCCTCAACCCTAAGCCCTAAGCCGCCCTAAACCCTAAGCCGACTCAGCCCTAAGCCATCCTGTGAAGCCTGCTAGGTGGGAGGACATCCCCGAATCAGAGAAGGCCTTCCAGCTGCGTCTCGTTGAGGCTGGCAGGGTTTAGGGTTTAGGG